CTTTTCAACCCAGGCCATTCTATGATTAAGAAGCTTACTTTTTCACTTACCCATCCCATTTTGTGAGCTCCAAAAAATATGGGAGTCCATGCCCAGTTTAATGCCAGCTGCCCTGCATACAGACCCAGAGGAACCACTGACTTTTCACTGAAGCCTCCCAGTTCCTTCCACACCAGGTAGGAGCCATATCTGAAGAAAGCAAATGTAAGGTGTAATTCAGTACTTTGGTTAGAAAGCAACCACGCATTCTAGATCAAATTAAATAACTTCAGTGGTAGGGTCTAGATTCACTTGGAAAACTAGATATCCAGGCACTGCTTGGCAGAGTAACTGACAACATAGGGTTGGCCACCTGCTGCAGATAGCAATATGGAGAGAGAGAAAATTTCTATCCTGCCAGAGTTCTCACTTCCAGGTGCAGAGGAGCAGATGACCTACTGCATAAAAGGGAACACTAAAGGAAGTCTAAGATGCAAGGGTAAAAGGTAAGTCTCTAAATAGTGAAGAAACTGTTAATTTTGGTACTGGGGGATGGTGCTTTAAAATAAATTTTACAAATAAACATCTTTTAAAATTTATTAAATATAGGAGTAGGAATTGAGGTGGGAATCAACAAAATGAATGGCATCCGAAAGCACAAGTGAGTATGGGCAGGGATGGTGTCAGAGCAGGAGCAGCCCTATAGTCGCACTTTGGAAGGGAGTAGTGGATGGGACAAAGATGGGGAGAAAAAAGATTTTAGGACTTCTATGGGAAGAATGAAGCACAAAGAACATCCAACACCCTTTCTGTCTGTGGGATCCTGGCTACTGAAAGATTTTCCAAAAATGTTTTGAAGATTTTGAACAAATCTTCTTAATGCCGTGGAAGAACAGTTCATTGGAGGAATCCCAGAATGTAAGCTGCTAAAGAGAGGAATTCTTAGTATTTGGGAGGCTTAGGAATGTAAGGTTTATTTTTGCACTCAAGAAGCCTGTTTGGAAAAGGGAGCACTCATCACCTAAGGCTATTTCTTTCACTCTTGTTTGACTTTAGCTTTAGACATTAGCTAGATTTCCATCCAGATGACTGCACAGCCATTCCAAGTGACTGCAGAAGAATTCCCTGAATAAAATTCCAACATCTGGAATTACACCCTTGTTTCAGAATTAGTAACTGAATACCGATTCCATCCTGGTAGGAATGTGAACTGGCCTGTGCACTATGCAGGACAGCGGGGGGCTCATACGTATTTCTGCTGGCAGTGGAGAAAAGATGGAGACCAAGTTGTAAGCGTTATTTTTTTAGGAGCAGACAAACATCCATAGGAGTAATTGCAAGGAGTTTGTATTAATTTGTAGGTCACACAAGAAGGATTTGTTTTTTGCTGTTTAACCCAGTTAGTGACCCAAGTTTGCTTCTTGGCCATTATTTCCATAGGAACTGAACAATGCAGCTTGGTAACTTGGCAGTTTGATGCAGAGTATTAAAAAAAGCAGGGGTGGGGGGGAGCAGAGTAAGCATTAGAAACTTAACAGTTTATCTTCATAAAAGGCATCAGGACCCAAATCTGTTCCTGAGTGATTTACAGAGCCCTGTGGACTTTAGAGTTGTTCATACCTCTGACTGTCACTTCAGACCAAGATCACGATGTACCAACTCGCTAGGAAGCTAGATGTCAAGAAAGGCATACAATTAAATCTTGCTTTTAATTATTTCTTGCTTTTAATATATGCGAGATTCTGAAGGAATGAGATGTCTTGATCATTCAAGGAATGTGTGCACATGATGGATTACAGAAAAAAAGGCCTGGGTAATAAATATCTTCCTACTGAGCTAGATGTATAGTACCTAACTGGGACCATCCACCTCAGAATACACTGGTTCTGATATTATCAAAGTAAGTGATAAGCTGTCACAATTTGGATTTTTAAAATATTTATCTTGATATCCAGATTTATGATGAGGAATCCAGAAACAGGGTTACAAATTGTGCGGTCAATTTGGAGGAAGCCCTTCATGGGAAAAACACTCAGCTCTTGTCTCTCTGATAAAAGGCATTTTTTTATTCATAGGACAGCAATGATCTGATTCAAATGCTAACTCTTAGAATATACAAGAATAGAGAGCAATTTTTTAAAGTACACTCTGTAAGAGGAGAAAGAAAAGAGAATACTGACAGGAAAGAACAGACAGTACATGAGACTATAAAAATTACAAAGCTTTTCTGGAAAGAAAAGGAAACCAAAGTGAGAATGCGAGAGCGCCAGTTTAGCATTCAGATACAGTTTCGGACATTGCATCATTGCTGTATTTTGCAACAGGTGGTGTAGTATTTAAGATAACCTGCCAGATGACTATGTAATGTTAACTTGGAAAAGATTTGGTCTCTGAAACTTTGTATAGTTAGCCAGTGCTATATACAAACTACAAATCACTTAAATGTACTGTCATGATGGAAGAAATGGGAGGGGTAAGCCATAAAAGCCATATTGCAGCCTAGAAACTATTACTATTGGATTAGCAACGGTGTGTATTTGATAGCTAGGAAAAAACAATCTGAATCTTGGTATGTAGCTAGTTCTTCATGACAAAGTTCAGAAGAGACACAATGCTTGGGAGCTGCACTGTGTCTGTTGAGGCTTATGAGCAGAGCGCTACCTCTCGTCTGTGGCACAGCTCACCAGAGTGAACAGAAAGCTTCTAGAGCAGTCTGTGAGGAGTATCAAAAACTCTCTCCTGAGACAACGTACCTCTATAAATATTTTTGCTACATCTAATTAGAAGTAACAGCTGCCAAAATACAGTAGTATTGAACTTTTAAGGTACCTGTGGGAATAGTATTTGGCCTTGTGATTCCCTGTTCATTTGACAATAATTGCTGTGCTGTCAAGTTATTTTAAACTAGTGAAATAAGGAGGCAGTAGATGGCTTCAAACATTTGCAGTTTAACAGCCTGTCAGTTTTCTTCGAAACGACATGTATATTTTGATTTTGGTTTATTTTAATTGAGCTCTGTTAGAACAGTTCTACCCCCATAACTTTCCC